GGCAAAGATCGTGCCGATGTCTCTGTGGTTGCTTAATTTGCAGCAAACCTTATTGCATTTAAAAAGTCCTATGAAGGAATTTTCTGCACAGTGTTCAGCAACGTGGTGTCTTCCCTTCACGTCTTCCGAAAAGAGAAGTTACCGCCCATAGAAACCATGAGACAACATATCCTTTAGACGGCGTCGATATAAGCAGTTGGAAGCATTTAAGGTACCTAGTAAACTAGTAAGTTTATAAAGCCGTTAGGTCTTGACTTGTTACAAAATTCTCGACGTCTGCATGACAGATGAAAAGCATCTCTTAGTCAAACTTTCTGAACACAGAAGTGAACAACTCTCCAATAAATGTATTTTCCTCTCACCTCGTCTGGAAGTCGAGTTTGCCTGCAAATTGGAGACGAAATTAGAAAAGGATAGACGATTTGCGAAACGGCATGCTAATTTTGTTGACTCTCCCAAAACAAACCCTGTTTCATTGAGGTAGGCCGTGTTGACATCGCATTCCACAAAAGCTGGCGCTCCTGTTGCCTCACTTAATTCGGGGTCACCCGTACTGACTTTGTGGATGCAGAGGGTGAGTGCGTAGCAGCGACTGCGTCCCCTTTGCCTTGGCGTGGCGTTTTGACTGTACTCGACATTAGGAAGGCAGAAGGAAAAGGAAGAAGGGGAGAAGGAGGAGTGGTCGCAATTAGCTACCGGCGATTTGCAAAGTGCAATTATGTCCTTTTCCTATGGCAAATGTGAGCAGATGCTGACAGTTGAATATTCTGAAGCACACTACAACGCCTCACGGGCCATGCAGGCACATCGACTGTTTAACTGGCAGTTTTCAGAAAGAAGGTCATTGTGTGCAGTCAGTAGAACGTAGACAGCGTGCTGCAGCATAACTTACAGAGATGAAGCCAGTGTCATAACGCCTTCAGTAATTATCAACATTTGGATGATTCGAAAAATTGAATCGATCTATTCAGGACCGTCTGATTGAGGGGCGATCCCCAAGGTCATTATTTTGTGGCTATATTATCGAGTTATTGCTAGATGTCCTCGGTATTGAGGTCTTCTGATGCATTTGTCCAGCGAGTTTCGCTTACGTGACTTATTCAACTTCCTTCACGTCACTGTGCATGCGGCCAAAAAATGAGCCCTCTAGCAGTTTCGAAGCAAGCAAAATGACAGAGTTATGTTTGCCCCAAAGACAGAAACCTTGTTTTCCGGTGGGATCCAGTAAAAACCGAAGCACTAACCAAGGTGTCAAACGCAAGAAAGGGGGAATTCGGACGTTTGTTAAAATTACTACCTAGCAGTCCCTTGTAGGTGAGTTTCAGCGATCTGTCTAAATTGGGAGTCTCTGTTTCACCTTAGACCTTTGTCTTATTTAGGTTATTTGGTCGCACGCGACGAGCAGCTGAAAAACAACCGTACGATTCTGCGTAAGGACTATCACCCTCCAGCGGGTACACTCACTTTGATGCTGAACGGAATTCAGATCTTGTATCTTTTCTATTTTGGGCCGATTTCGCTATCAACGCAGATTGGGATTAACTGACCCACCGTCGCTACTTAGCTACGAAGAAAGACAGATTACAGGAAAAAACTAAACGATATTTTCCAGTAGGAAATATTTATGTTTTTTAAGTTATTTTAACGATGACATTCAGCATCTGCACGATCAGTTTTCCTTGAGACAACTGGCACTCATTTAAAACGTATTTGGATGTTCTTATATCAGAACGAATAAGCTTCTGACACCCACACTGATGGCATGTTTAAGGTTGTGTAGCGATACTTCATCAAATATTAAGTGGCGCGTTAAAAAGCGAAGCAAGCATAGCAATTCACCACTGCTTACAGACGTGAAGACCTTGTAAGAAAAGGTTTGCACAGTTATAGCCGTCAATTTTAGCATAACGATTGCGGACAAACGTAAACTCACTTGGGCTTGTAGAATGTGGTTACCTTCCTATGAGCAAAATAATTTGTTAGTCAATATTTTGGAGAGTTAGTTATCTATCATTAAAAGAATTTGGATAAATGTTACACCGAAGCGTCTTAAGCCCCACCTCTTAGTTGATTAACTTCGCTCCCCTTCCCAATATGTAAATAAAATATTATTCTATTCTCCGATGCTGCCTCTGAAAAGCATAAGTACGAACATTGAAAGAGCCAAATATTCTTTTTTACATACAAATTTGGAAGCAAATATCGGTTCCCCAAAATAAATTCAATCAAGAACCTTTGTCCATTTTTACAAAAAAATATATCATTGTAAGTATTTTGCGGATTCGTGAAAAAAGGCACATATTATTTGGGCATTTCAGCTTTTATAAGCGACTGTCTTATGGAAATTAACATCTAAATGAGGCCTAAAAAGTGATTAAACAGCGGTTTAAAATAGTTTAAAACAAAGAATAACGACGTCACGGATGGCAAGAGAAGCGCATAACAATGTACAAACAATAGACCAAGGAACTTAAGTAATTATTGGACCATTGATTCTAGTCTCTCGCTGTTCAACTATCTGTACAGAAGTGAAATACCAAGGGTGAGGATGTTTGCGTATCACGCAGGGTTCATTCTGGCTTCCAGCAGTCTATTTGCCGTCATTCCCAACAACGGTGACGTTATAATGTGTTATGAGCAAACTTCTTACTTGATTTGCGAGGAACTTAAAACCCCAAGCCAGGTACGCGCAGATGTTTGGTACTTAAGTGAACATTTATTTTAGGTAATAAAAGATAATCAAACCTTGCATTCTGTTAAAATTTATCGGCGAAACTAAAGGAAATCGTACACCTAAAGTTGGCCCTTAGTTTAACGAGGAGCGAATTAGAACAAGAGACTATATGCATTGAAAGCATATGTCAAATGAGCTTACAAAGCATTAGAATGCAGTAATTAACCGATCAACAAATCATGTGATGGTTTTGTACAGACATGCGTGTAGCCAGTTCAGTTGAGGCCTTACTTAGCGTTTACTGAATTGTTTAATCTCTGCATCAGACGGATATCTATGTGGGAAACGATGCCATAATACTGCAAGAGTTGAAATGAGCTAGAAACCAAAACCCCCCCGGATATGATTTCGTATTGATTCGTGGGGAATCGGAAACTGACATCTCAGAGCTGAAATAAATTTAATATACACTAGTGTCTTCTTTCCGCTGCCGACTGCTCAATAAATTATTTTTCTCAGATAGGATATGAAGATATTAATTGGAGGCCATTTACGGTCCAGTGCCTCCCAAATTAGTTAGTTTCAGCGAGATTTTTGTGTTCCAAAAAATATCGTGAATCGAGACAGTGCAAACCAGAACAGAGTTATTATGATGCTGATGTTGTGGGGGGGCCTGGTAGATTTGGTCATGATCCGTCTGTTGTTTATTTACGCACTCATTTTAGGCTTATTCATAGAAGTTCTGAATTGCTTAACTTGTATTAGTTCTCAAATAATCCCTATAAATCATTTCTCTTGTCACTAAATGGTTTATCAAAACCCACAAAACATCCATAAATTTCGGTTCAACTGTACATGCAGAAACAATAATTAACGTCCCTAATTCGACTATTCCTCGATTATTGACATGCTGTCTTGACAGGGGACTAAAAACACTAACGGAAAAACAAAAGCCGACTACTTGTCTTGTAATGGCATCGGACGAGGAAGGTGTCTAGGAACATTGCCAGCACAAAGTTGGCCTATGGCTATTCATACCTGGCATATTTATTGAAATTTTGTGCATGCTTTCAAAGCAATGCTTGATTCTTAGGTCTTGGTACAAGTACAGATGCATACCGACCCAGCCGAAATACCTTGCGGTGCATTTTAAAATATAATCTTTACAGCTTTCAAGAAAAAATAAACATATAAAATCTAGATATACTGACAGTAGAATATCGAAGAAGTCACAGTCGACAAACGCACGTGTTCGATTATGCCCCATCAGACCTGTGCAAAAGTCTACTTCACGGTGGAATTAAAAGCTGAAAAACAAGCAGTGGCAGGAATAGGTTAGAAAGAGTTAGAATCCAGGACCTATATCACGTGGTTTCGCCCCAGAGATTTTTGCCATAACGTGACGCGGTGGTATGCGAGTATGAATGTATGGGGTTAGTGTAGCAGACTTTGGGGTTCAGCTTGGCTTAACTTAAGTAAGGGGTTGCAAAAATCTTCTTTCCCGGGCTCAAGCTCGAGCTGGCTAACTGTATGGCTCCCACGACTGCTGTTGCCAGAATCCTCTGGAGTAGGAATTCGCAGTTCCACTGGTGCCTTTTAGATGACGAAAATAATTGGCATGGCGCACAATCAGTTACCACTGTAGAACAGGGGATCAGTGAATGAGTTTTAAATGGACTGTACCGTGTTTTAATTGACCCAAATATGAATGCCCTACATTCCATCGGACAATCGCCTAATCGTTCAGTGTTATAACTGGTTTTATAGAAGGAAGAACTGTGTGAATGCACATTAAAAGAACCTGAACTGACAACTGATTCTTGATTTCGATTCCTATAAAGTTGGCGTTTGTGGGATTTAATCTTATCCTGACCGCTGGGTACGCGAGCACAATATATAGCTCGACCGTCGTTGCCAATGATGTCCACCATGTGCTCCATAACAAGGTCAAGCAGGCACTGTGTCTTAGTTTAAAATGAACGTGAACTTGTGCAGCATCCACCGCACTCCCTCTTCCTCCTCTTCTTCCTCCGCTACTTGGATTCAGTGTCAAGACAAAGTCAAGAAGACCGGAGACGGGGGAGGGCGCAGGTGAATGGCACGGTCGAGCCCGCACCTTGGTGTTCCACTCCACACCCTGGTACACACACAGCAAATGGCCAGGTTTTTGATCAACAACAAAAGGATGGCTAGCACGGAAGGAACCGTACCTCGACGTTCCATCACACCTAGCTTGGATCCCACGGAGTGGGAGCGCCATAAAAGCCACATAAAAAGGAGCCACTGCAGTCTGTCTTACAAGACCGATTAGTGCCCAGAACATCCGCTAGCAGCGTAGGCAGGTCGGAGGTGGTTGATTTTTGGCGTTGCGGGGTGGACGCAGGTGCGATTTGCGTGCCTTGCGTTTAGCTTTAGTAGTGGGAATGCTGCTGGCCTCATAGATCGCTGCACCTGTCTTCACTGTCCTCCTCCCGGTCGATCGGTCTCGGGCGAGGTCTTCACAGTTGGCCGCGTTAATCTGCAGACACTTCAGGGACGTATTCAGAGTGTCCTTGTATTGGCGGCAACCAATGGCAACATCTCCGTAGAAGAGTCGTTTGGGTAGTCGTTCGCCGTCCATCCGCTCGAGGTGGCCGCTCCAACGCAGATGTATTTGTTTCAGCATAGTATAGAGGTTGAGGATTCCCGTAAGCTCCAGTACATCCGTGTCCGGGATCCGGTCCTTCCACAGCTCCAATATCCGCCTTGTACATCTTCAGCTTGCTGTTGAAGTGAAGACCGTGATGAGTTCACACTGTGCTTCGCAGACAACCGAATGCTTGGTTAGTTTTGGGAATCCGGCGGGCCACTTCGTCGTCGATCTTGGTGGTGCACTAGAGGATGCTGCTCAGATAGTCAGAGTTGCCCACGACTCACTGTTGGGCGCCGTCCGCGTTGATTTGGATACGATGTGGACAGCGCCGGGTGGCGGTTAATGCATAACCACCGTTTTCTCTGTGCTGATGACCAGGCCGAATTTGTAGCTAGCGGCGGCGAAGAGGTCCATGCTCCTTTGCATGTCCCCTTCGGCGGTGGTATTGAGGGCGCAGTGGTCGAGGAAGAGAAGTTTGTGGACGCCACTGGAAGTGCAACCACTGCTGGTTGAGAAGTTGGCAGTCCTGTAGGGGATGCTGATCCCGGGACGTCCGTCACGGTGGGCGTCTATCAGCATGGCAGAGAACATAAGACTGAAGAGGGTAGGCGTGAGGACGCAGTCCTGCCTCACTCTATTGGTCACTGAGAATGCCTCGGAGACAGCTCCATTTTCCGTGAAACTGACGCACCATCCGAATAAATCGTTCGAGCAGCCAAATTTCTTCATGATTTTTCGCAGTCCTTTGCGATTCACCGTGTCGAAGGATTTCTCTCACCACCACATAAATGCCATCGATTTGTCGGGCATATGAATCGTGTAAAACTGGTTCTTAAATTTTTCCGGGAAGAGATCCACAAATAAGAATCCACGAGGTTGCCCCATCGCCGCCACGCTGATCTGGTAATCCTACATATGTACGTTATTATATCATGTGGGATCAGTAAGGGGTTAGAAGGGTCTGTGTGTTTGCCCTACTGGGACAGAGATGTAGACAAATTGAAACGGAACTACCAGTTTGATTTGGGTTTACTCAGATTCCGGCTTGCCCTCATCATATTCACCCCTTGAATTCAGTGGGCTTTGAGTCGCCGGAGTTGTTGTAAGGTATACTAGTCTCTCAGTACCCAGCACAAAGTAGATTTGAGCTTTACGGCTTATGTGGGTGTGGATGTCATTACTTTGGCACCCGGACGGTCATAACAGGAAGGTTATCAATGCCAGTGATTCAGTAAGTTAATGTCACACGATATATCGGTCGACCAAGATATTTGCGATTTGATAAACCGGCAGTTTTATTATTTGCTTTATTCGCAAAAATTCAAGTTAACCAGTTGACCGTTTATGGTTGCTCTGAATTTGTTTCCCTTTCGCTAACAAAAATATTTTGTTAAGTTTTAATGGAGAAGTAGTGCCAGAAAGAGAGAAAACGTAACAGCATACTTGAGAAGCTGTTACGTTGACATACGTAAAGGAACGGTCAGGTACGGGATTTTCCGATTTTTTTCACGGACACGAAGAAGAATACTTAAGCAAAGTTTGTGCTAAATTATTCGTCCTCTTCTAAATACATTTTGCAGCCGTGTGCGATGTTTTACTGAAAATTTGTTGGATGTATTTGCTCTGGGAGGTCTCTCGAATGTGATACAAATATGAGGATAGGACTAAAGCGCTTGAAAAGACCGGTTTTTGGTTTCTAGCCTTTAGTATTCCCAATCGAAACGCAATCTTATAATCCGAAGTACGAAAACTATAAGTACGGAAGGTTGAGCGATGCATTATATAGTATTTTGAGATAAATGCCTCTTCTTGATAATGTCTGAGCGGTTGGATTTGCTACAAGCAGACAGTCGGAATGGTAATAAATAGAGTTAGGCAACCGCATGGGATGTGTTTTTATTTTGAAAAGAATAGCATTTTCACTGAAAAGGAACTCAACAACGTAGTCGTATAGAGGTCAGGAATGCTGACTGTTTTTTTTTCTAGACAGTGCAACTGGCCGAAAGCTTCATTTTCTTCAAGGGTCTGTAAACATAGCCAACAAATGTCGCCAGCAAACAGCATGAGTAAAGAAAGACGAATGTTCAGCTTCCATTGACGATGTGAACGACTTTCTGCGTTGAAGTAGAGGAGGAGGAGGAGGAGGAGGAGGCGGAGGAGGAGGAGGAGGAGGAGGAGGAGAAAACGACCGTTTAGTTCCATAACTCCGATAGGAGGGGATTAATCATTTGGCCGTGAGTCAGGAGGGAGAGCGACCATCGTCACTATTACGGAGCCGCTTATAAATTGATATAGCAGTGTGATGGCATGCTGCTTCAGATGACCGCTCAACACGCGGTGTGCAGATGCAAGCAAGGACGCGAGTGGGCTTGACGGGGTGCATAGCATGCCGGGGTTTGTGGGTTTCGAGGGTGACCAGTCAAATGACGACTCAAGGGATGGAACGAATAGGGTGACCGTAGGTCAACATTTCTGCTGCGAAATTCTACGAGTACAATGGAGGTTACAGTTCTGTTTAATGAATAAAAAGATGCCTTTGACGTTGAAAAATGTTTGGCTTGCTTGCAGTGACAAATCATCAGCCCAAGACGTGAACAAGAAGGAATATGCTCTTCAAAATATTACTCTTCTGGGTTTATCAAATACTTTTATTTTTTATTCCATGCTCACAGTGGACTCAAATATCCTTAATCCAGCCTCATTTCTCTGAAGTAAGGACTGAAGTGTTATTCCAGAGAATCATCTGTCAACCTTCCTAATATTATAAGGAAGGTGTTCAAAGTGATGATTAAAAAGTTGCAATTTCCTCCTGACTGCCCTTTTTGTTTTCAAAATCAAGACTATGGATAAACGACCGAAAATCTCGAGGTTTCTTCAACGACTTCATAATGGCTTAGTTTAGTAGAATGCTCTGAAGAAAAACTTTTTTAATTTTTCTTCCAAGAAGTTTTGGTTGTGTGTTCTAGTTGCGACCAGAAAGGAAAAAACAACATCACACACAAGAGTATGTCGGCAAATCAGAAAACATGCGTCCCGTCAGATTGGCACGGCACAGGTTCGTCTATCCTGATTACAGAACGGAAGTGGACATTTTCATTGTGCCTTTGTGCTGAGGGCCTGCAGCTCAGGGAATCGGTCAGTTGGCGACTAACGATTGGGAAGCTTGTATGGGGAAGCACAGAGACACCGGATTTCGGTTCAAAACTTGGACATGCAGCCTACAGCTGAGGTATCCTAAAGGAATACGAGCAAAGAAATCGGAAATGGCCAATTTTAGTGTCTTTCTTGGTCCTTCAACCTACTTGCGCAAGTGCAGGTGTCGGAGATTATTTTTCTCAACGGTGGGGCTGACTTATATGACCTGTTGAACAGGACGTGGGGATAGAATCTCCCCGCCAAGGTATTAAAGTTGGACCTGCGCATAATTACGGAAAGGGCAGAAAATGTCCATGTTCTAGCCCAAACAATAGTTCGGACGTCGTGCCCGACGATGTCCGCCGTATGGTCCACAGCAAGGTGAAGCAGGCACGGTGACTTACGGGTAAATTAGATTATAGTGAGAGTAGATATGTACAGCATCCACCCAACTCGCTCCTCCCCACCTCTCGACCCAGTGTCAAGACAGTCAGGAAGACCGGAGGCGCCGAGGGCGCAGGTGGCTGGCACCACTGGACCTACACCTGCGTCTATCACCACACCCCCTGATCCACAACAAACATTTGACCAGAATTTTTACCACCAACGGGTCATAAATTCGAGGATGACTGGACAACCTTGTTTAAGACCTATTTACCCAGCGGGACTACAAGTGCATCTGCCGGCAGGGAACCAAGTGCCAGAGAACTGCCAGCACACACCGGGCTGCGAGGGCCATGGTTTACTGATCTTGACATAGCAGACGCTAACAAAACTTTGGGCCCGACCCTTATATAAAACTAATACTTTGACATAATCTTGACCCTAACCCTACCCTAAACCTTAATTCCGAGTTGAAACTAGCCTCTAACTTAATCCTAAACTTGACCGTGACTTACCTTTAAATCTACTCCTAGACCTGACCCCATCTCTGACCTTAAACTTAATCTTACTTTTACTGGAAGTTGGCTCAAAGCCACCTGCTCTCATGTCCCGTTTAGGGAGCCATATAAGTCAGTCTTGTCTTCTCAACAATATCACATACAGTTTAAGATATGTAGTTTTCCTTTTTCTGTCATTTTCAAGTAGAAGCGTGTTCAAATGAGGCCGGATTCTATAACGGCCAGTAAAAAATTTAATAGAAGTGATTTTACAGTTAAATCATGTGGAGCACAAATCTTAAAACTTGTGTTGAAAGTATGCTCTCTACGCAGGCTCAACCATACCCCCACGAATTCTTCCTATGTAAATTCGCTTGGAGAATGTATCTTTGCTTTTTGCTACTTCCAAATTACAGTTTGCTGAAGAACTTTTGGGTTTCAGTGAGGAATTCTCACTAGATACATACTAGGCATTATATAAAGTCTTGAACGCAATACCCACCGCCTAGCCCAAAGACCTTCTGCTGGACACTTTACACTGCATCCCCTCACAAACTAGAAGTAATTGGTCTTTTCAAAAGATTCCTTTAGTTTTCCCGTTAAAAGGGTGATAATTTTAGCGTAGTAGCCAACTGCTGGGATATTGTTAAAACCATTGCAGAGTATTTAATTCAAATGACGTCATTATAGCCTGAGCACTGGCTTACAGATACAGCTTCTCTAAAGCAATGACAAATGTGGAGACCGATCACATGAGGTCACTCATCAAAGCACAGGACAGACTCCTTTGGATTTGTGCTGCGAAACGTGAATGTTTTCACAAAATTTCCCGTTATACAGGTAGACGCATATTTATCCTTTTTTGATCTCATCTCCTCTAAAGTGTAAAGGAAAAGTAATCAGATGGCATCCACGTGAGCTGAGCGAATATATAACAGCCTCTGGGAGTATTCATAAACCGTTAACACTTCGACTAACGAAAAATATACAAAAATATATGACAATGTAATGTATATA